ATTGACTTTTTGCAGGGCCGTACTAGACCGATGGGGGGGGGGGGGTTCACGCGTGTTAGGGCGAGATCAGAGGGAAAATTTCTCCCGAGAGTGGAGGTCAGGGGGGAAATTCCCTCTGCCTCCACATTAATAGGGTCCCAACTTGAGAGCGAGAGCCTAAAATTTAGTAGGTTCTTTAAATTGGTCAGATCATTTTTGAAATGGAGGGCCCCTTACAGTAGCTTCAGATACAGTCATTTTAGCTCAGGTCTAGTTATAGGTGACTGACTTGGGTGTAGCTTTAAAATGTCATGCATGGGGAAAATTTGTCCCGGGCCCCGCAAATTCTCTCGGCGGCCCTGATTCGTGTTCTGCCCGACGGATTTCTTTTGAAAGCGATTGTTTTTACGGTATGTGAACATGAATATATACCCACAATTATCGCGTCTAGTTACGGCCCTGACTTTATGTCATATGTTTTACCAGTGATCACACGTGCGGCCCGATTTTGTAGCTTTTCCTGTTTGTCTAAAAGATAATCTGTGCAGTTGTCCCAACAAAAGAGCAGTGATCAAAATGGGATAATACAATTGCATCATATACCTCAGTTTAGCAGGGTTGCTTTTGGAACATACTTTTTCATCAATCATCCTCCGTATCACATGCATGCCTATATGCCTTTTGAGACTTTAGTTTAGGTATTTTCTATTTGGTCCTTCCATGTTAGCTTTTCATCTACACAGTTTCCAAAAAAGAACAAACTATTGAAATAACGTATTGTTATAGAATTAGAATGCCTTAGCACTATGAACCTGAACGCAAAGATGCGTAAAATATTGACATGGTGTATATATTATAAATATTGATAAAGAAATATGATCTTTGTAAACCGCGCGATTTTCTGCTTTTGGGAATTAAAAGCAGCTTCTTAAGAGTAATGTCAGTAAAAATCGAACATATGAGATATTTCGCGGCCACGACTGAAAATCGATTTTGCTCAAATTTTGCCCAGATATACCTTATTATATCGGAAAATGCACCATATATTTTTTTAGGCCAAATGCTTTTTTAACTTTGAGAAAATGCCGTTTTAACACGACCACCCTAAATCGCCATTTTGTCTGGGAAAATATGCGCTGATTTTACCGAAAAATTTCACGACGACAACCGTTTATAATCGATCTAAAACCCTAAAAATCTTGTTTTCGGTTATTCAAAGGACCGGGTACGTGACTTACAAGAAATCTGAGTTACTTTTAGGAATAGAAATAATCGTAGTTTTGGAGCACACTATCTTACTTCATTTACGATACCCTCTTAACAAAACCGATTTTCACTATGGGATAAAGCTCCAAATCGATCATGCTTCTACTAGTTGGCTCTTTAATAAACAAGCTTTCAATTGACGTAAATACTTCTTTGGGCAAATGAATACGCGATAAACGACAGCGCGCTGAAATCGTCCGTTTTTGACGTCTTGCAAGCAAACGCTGTTAATTTACATACCGTCGAAGTAAACAATTTAATCAAGTATTTTAAGTATTTTACCTTTTGAGAAGAAGATATATTCTTGAATGGAGACTTTTTGCCTTGCTAAGTTTAAAATTGGTCCAAAAATCCTGATATATTTGTAAAATATCATCATATACAGGTATTTTGAGATATAATATTGTTGTCAGTTGCATAATAACTTCAGATCACTGTTCATGCAATATTGTCTACTTTTAATA